CTTGACCAATAATCCTTGTTCTAAATATATGGAAAATGAAAAGGCAGAAAAGTCATTTGCTGAAGGACATCTAGATGCTAGCAGAACAAAGACTAGGCAGGCATAGACAGCCCAAGTTCAAGTCTAGGCTACTTTCTGCCAACTTATTGAATTATCTTTCTGTCATTGTTCTAATACTATTTTGTCTCCAACTTGGGGCTACAGACTTTACATAAGAGGGAGAAGAACAAGTGCTACTGAGAGTAGATCACTAATAATCTACATGCACCTTCTTTTTTCTGGGCTTGAAATTGTGGCCTCGCAGAGCCAAAGAGGGTGTATTAGTTTATGGAATTTATCGTGTTTCAGGAAAAGTGGTTGGGAGGATAAGAGTTAGAAACATGTATAGATATCAGTAAAATGGACTGAAAGCATTGACAAGATCTATGCCTGCATATTTTTTTTCAGCTATTTGGAGACAGATTTTTTTAATTATTATTATCTGAAAGCTCTATTTAAACAATCAGAAATCAAATATGGCAGTCAAGTCCTAAGATTTAATTATTATAGCCTATTCTAGGGGTGATCCCTGGTAAAAGTATAAATACTCAGTTCTCTTTAAAAGTAAAATAATAATGATAGGAACAATAATAATAAAGTTAATTATAAAAACAATACATTCTCTTTCAGTCCTTTTTTCAATGCCTATTTTTATGTAACTGAGATCACCGTGTATTTGCATTACTGTGTTCCAGGGTTTTTGTTTCAAACTAATATTATATTGTAAACATTAACCCAAACCATTAAAAATTATTTATAAACATTATTCTTTATCACTGCATGACAGCACATCACATGAACATGGTACAATAAATTTAATAATTTTCTTCATATTGAAAATCAGGGCTCTTTCAATGTACATTTAAAATTTTAACTGAGCACAATGGCTCATACCTATGATCTCAGCATGTTGGGAGGCTGAATAGGAGAATCACTTGATCCTAGCAGTTTAAGACCAGCCTAGGCAACGTGATACTCTGTTTTTAAAAGAAAGAAAGAAAGAAAGAAAGAAAGAAAGAAAGAAAGAAAGAAAAAAAGAAAGAGAGAGAGAGAGAGAGAGAGAGGAAGGAAGGAAGGAAGGAAGGAAGGAAGGAAGGAAGGAAGGAAGGGAGGGAAAGAAAGAGAAAGAAAGAGAGAAAGAGAAAGAGAAGAAAAGAAAAGAAAGAAAAAGAAAAAGAAAGAAAGAAAGAAAAGATTAAAAATTAACTGGGTGTGGTGGCATGCACCTTTAATCCTAGCTACTTGGGCGGCTGAGATAGGGAGATCTCTTAAGCCCCGAAGTTTGAGGCTGCAGTGAGTTATGATCACTGCACTCTAGCCTAGACTATCGATAGAGATCCTCTCTCTAAAGCAATAATTAAATAAAATAAATAATATAAAAATTTCAAATTTTTTCATATACAAAGCAATGTATGTTAGACATTTTCAAAAAACTAAAGAAAAAATGTCCGAGTAGTAAAATTATTTTTACTACTTTTCTTGCTTTAGTTTTTTAGTTTTTAAAAAGCTACTTTTTTAGTAATTTTTCTTTTCCAGTGGTTTCTAAAAAACCTTTTCTAGTAGTTTTTCTTTTCTAGTAGTTTCTTTAAAAAGAAAAAAAAGAACTTTTACAGTAGTTTTTAAGAAAAACTAAAAATCCAAAGTAAGTTAAGAGCCCAAATTCATTTTTCTATATTCTGGTTTCCATTCTTGCATTATAAATATTCCAACAATGAGCTGGAACTCTTCCAATGGTAAACCATATTTTGGCTCTATCATTGTGGATCTGATCTGGTCTACTTGATCTTCTAATACTATTCTCTGGCTAAAACCTAATGGTAAATGTTTTTAGTTGACTTTTGCCTGCCCCAGTGGGCTTTTGCATAGACAAAACTAACAGATCACTTAAAGGTGTCTCTGCTCCATCTTGCCATCAAACATTAAGATCTAGAAACCTGAGTCTGCACAAAGAGTAAGAGAGACAAAAGCTTGGAACTAGTTTTTCCTTTTCTCAAACAGTCATTACTCATCAATAAACAAGGTAATAGCTTTCTATTATGTGTAGTTTTCTTCTCTTCATCTGCTACCAAGCTCATTCTTCTATCACTATACCCAGACTGATTTTTTCAAAACCCAGCCTCCAGCTACTACATTGATTATCTTGGAGCTATCATAGCACTCATGGTTCTCAATGAAGTATAGTGAGGGACTGACAGCCACAGGATGAAAAAGAAAAGTCCTTTAAGACAAATACCTGAACCAACAGCTGGAGAGCCTTCCTCTCCTTAAAGTTTCAGGTTCACTTCATTCAGTTATACTAATTCTAAAGTGAACTCTATTTAATTAATTTTCTTCACATTAACAAGTGATTTCTGCCCCATCATCTAGAAACAGCAACTTGAGACTTACATCTTTTATTTTACAACATTACATAAGGAATTTTTTCCATTTTGGTAACTGGTTCCTGACTTCAGCACAACTTTTGAAAAGAGTCCAGGTAATTAGGTTATCAACTAAAATTGAAATAAGTTCTCAATATTTTTTCTATGTATAATACAACTAAAGACTATATAAGGAGGAGCCAATTAACGATATTGTTACATTTCAAGATAAGCCTGCCCTATTAAGAGTTCATTAGTTCATCCACCTTGTCAATATGTTCGAGCAGCAGCCAAGCCAGCAAAGCTGAGGGCCCTTTCCATTTACACTACACTCAGCCACTCCAGAAAACTCAACAGCAGACATTTTAAGAGAAAATCTTCCACTGAAATATACGAGTCAAAAGTTAAGAGTCCAGACTACAACCTGACTGAGAATGAACTCTACCCTAAATTCTGTGAATTCCTTAACTTTCATTGTTTGATATTACAACTTTAATATTTTCTTAAAGGATTGAGTGGTAGATAAAATTAATTCAGTCTCTTACAGAAGCTATTACACTTTTTGCATCATTTATTTGCTTTTATTTTGAACAAGTAAAAACACCTGACTCTAACATTAATAACTTTAAGTGGAAAGTTGCTATATGTGAATTAAAAATGGTTATGTCAGTGCATCCCTTCAGCATTTAAAAGATATTTTTCTGTGCTATATCAAGTGTCACATAGTATATCAATTTTTATTTCCCATCTCTCAAGTCTGGTATGCATACTGTTTAACTTCTTAAATTCTAAGTATAGACATAATTCAAAAAAGCAAGGCAAATGCTTGACATACAAGGAGATGGCATACATAAGATTTATATGAACAACTTTATTTTCAACAAGAAGGACTTTTGCATTTTGTGCAGCTACATCACATAACTTCAACTGTGTTTAAAAAGCTATAAAATAAATTGGAAAGGTTCATTTACCATCCTTCTAACTTCACAAGCACTACAGATATAATAGCAAAGCCCATTTTAGTCTGAGAGGTGAGAATTTGACCCTGTTTTTTGAAAATAAAATGCTATGCTCTCTTTTTTACAGTCTCCAAGTTGCTATAATACTTGGTCAGCCATTTCTGAGTGCCTGACAACCCTTACTCTCCACTCACTGACAATTGAAAAGCTGTCATTTGACAGCCAGAGAAAATTGTTGCTCTTTCTTTTCCTTTATACTATCATAGTAATAACAATTGATTATAATGCCTACACATTGATTATTCTATATTCACATCACTAATTTGTGGGTTTTAAATATGCATGTGTGTATAGATACAAACGTGTGTTTACATACACATATAGAATATGTACATGAAGTTTCTCCATTAGAAACTCTGAAATTATTCCTATACCTAGTCATACAAGAACAAAAACAACACTGATAGTGGTATATATTATGCATTAAGCAATTACTAGGGGTTTTATATAATAATATCAAAACTACTGTAAGATACTGTAATTATCTTTAGGAATTAGGAAATACAGGCTGAGAGACATTAAGTAACATGTCTCACAGCTAGTAAGTAACAAAATAGACCACAGCACTAACAGGTAGTGGAATTGTTATTTAAACCCTAATTTACTTGTCTCCAATACCTGTGCTGTTCTATAAAATTTTTAAATTACATACACTCTGAAATAACACATCTTATTCTCCACATCTATTGTTTATACGTAAAAATTTAGCTGAAAAGTACATTCAGAGTCATACATTTTTCATATATGTCAGGATGTAAGATTTTTTTCTATGTCACAAAGTTTCAAAAACACTTTTTAAAAAATGGATTGATGCATAAAAACCCTAGAAGAAAACCTAGGCAATACCATTTAGGACATAGGCATGGGCAAGTACTTCATGACTAAAACACCAAAAGCAATGACAACAAAAGACAACATAGACAAGTGTGATCTAATTAAACTAAAGAGCTTCTGCACAGCAAAATAAACTATCATCAGAGGGAACAGGCAGCCTACAGAATGGGAAAAAATTTTTGCAATCTATCCATCTGACAAAGTGCTAATATCCAGAACCTACAAGGAACTTAAACAAACTTACAAGAAAAAAAACCCCATCAAAAAGTGAGCAAAGGATATGAACAGACACTTCTCAAATGAAGACATTTCAGCAGCCAACGAACACATGAAAAAAAGCTCATCATCATTGGTCATTAGAGAAATGCAAATCAAAACCACAATGAGATAACATCTCACACCAGTTAGAATGGCAACCACTAAAAAGTCAGGAAACGACAGATGCTGGAAAGGATGTGGAGAAATAGGAATGCTTTTACACCATTGGTGAGAGTGTAAATTAATTCAACCATTGTGGAAGACAGTGTGGCAATTCCTCAAGGATCTAGAACCAGAAATACCATTTGGCCCAGCAATCCCATTACTGGGTATATACCCAAAGAGTTATAAATCATTCTACTATAAAGACACAAGCACATGTATGTTTATTGCAGCACTGTTCACAATAGCAAAGACTTGGAACCAACCCAAATGCCCATCAATGACAGACTTGATAAAGAAAATGTGGCACATATACGCCATGGAATACTATGCAGCCATAAAAAAGGAAGGTTTCATGTCTTTTGCAGGGACATGGATGAATCTGGAAACCATCATTTTCAGCAAACGAACACAAGAACAGAAAACCAAACACCACATATTCTCACTCATAAGTGAGAATTGAACAATGAGAACACATGGACACAGGGAGGGGAATATCATACACCAGGGCCTATTGGAGAGTGGAGGGCTAGGGGTGGGACAGAATTAGTAAGAAATACCTAATGTAGACGACGGGTTGATGGGTGCAGCAAACCACCATGGCACGTGTATACCTATGTAACAAACCTGCATGTTCTGCACATGTATCCCAGAGCTTAAAGTATAATAAAAGAAAAAATGGGTTGACGTTTGTGTTAAAATTTATTCTGCTAAGAAAGTTAAAAGCCAAATGGCATCTGATAATTTATTTTCTAACTTTTTTTGTCTTATTTTTTAAGACCATGCTTCATTTCTTTTTCATGCACCTTTTCCTAAAAACACAGACCTGCTGATATCAATACATTTTTAGCTTGTCAGTATACTCATATGCAAATAAAAATCAAGTTATTAGAAAAATTATCTAAATTTATTTAAATTGTTTAAACCCTGGTCCATTAAAAGCTTCCTAGCTAGTAAGTAAAACAGCTGTAACCAAAATGAAAAGTATATTTTAACCCATCATGAATTATTTAAACTATGTTCCAACCCTCAGGATGGATGGATGGATGAGAGAGAGAGAGAGACAAAGAGAGAGAGAGAGAGAGAGAGAGAGAGAGAGAGAGAGAGAATGATTCAACCTAAATGTAGTTATAAGAAAATTTATTAACATTAAAGATGACTGACCCTCGGTATAGTGACATCACTTTAAAGCCCTCAGAAAGTAGTATAATTAACTATCTAAGAGGTTCATATGTAAATGCCAAAAGAGTCACCCAGCCATAAACACACTTCCCATTGCACTACAAAAATATTTCAATTATATTATTTTTATCTCTTGCCTTGTAGGTATAGACCCACAGTTGTACTAGTTCTAGGACAGGAAGAGTCTAGTGGCAAAATTTCTATTTTTTCTATTTAAGGATAAAGAGAATGTAATGAGATTTTAAGTGTTAGGTATTATTAGCCACATTTTATAAACTAGGAAATTGAAATGCAGTAAGATTTATTCAGGTCACAAAAAGGGCAAATGGAGAAAGGATCTGAAATACTAGAAACAGCACTCCAACAGGCATCAAGAAACGGGTTCCCCTTGTAGCTCTGACAATATTTGCTTTTTAAGGCTGGACAAGCCTCTGGTCTATACCTCAATTTTCTTATATCAATTAAAGAATTGGGACTGGATTAAGCAAGCCTAAAGTTTTTATATATTATAGATCAGCAAAATTTCAAAGACAAGCAGAAGTGGAGACTTACGTGTAGTTGGGAACTTTTTATTTTACCAAATAAAACTATTGTAAAACAAAGAAAGAAAGCACATACCACCTATTATAACCATTACTTCACAGAAAGGACATTTTAATTCCCCAAAAGGTAGAAAAACATAATCTCAAGGTTATTTCTAAGTATAGCTTATGATAAACTCACTATATTGTCTATTGTCTTCAACATGTATAGCTACCTATCCTCCCTCTATCCAGTTAATGAGAATCATGAGGATCTCTAGATGACGTTTTCGAGTTTAACATTCTCTGAAAGTGGTGGCAGGGTAGAGAGGTAATATTTAATACAACTATTACAGTAGTACTTTTTCAAGGGTTTCCCAAATTCCATCTTTAGAGAACTGTCTTCACAATTTTGCCATATCCAAGTATCTAAAACTACCTAACTATGATTTGCTTAAGGTTTTAATTTGACTTTTTCTTCTGGCATAAATACACTTACTTCAAAAGGAAACTTCATATAATACTTCAAATAGAAAATTAAAATCACTTGTCATAAATAGAAGATAATCAGATAATCATGTAAAAAAATATTAAATTTATTTAAATTCTAGCTGAATGCCACATTGCGTCCAAAGGCTCTGAGAATAAGATGATCTCACTATCTCTCTCTCTCTCAGATATCGGCACATAGTAGAAGAGTATTAAAGACTAACATTAAACTGAGCCCTCAATGTAATGAGAAGGATCAAGTTAAAAAAAAAGAAGAGAGATATTTTCCCCGGAGGATTGATTCAGTATTATGTAATGTCACATGCTGGCCTCACCTGGAACATCTAACCCTCTCCGCTGCACCACACTCTGACACTGAAGAGGTAAGGCACTCTCCCACTTTAATTCCAAAAAGAAGCAGAGACTTTAGTTTCCCTGAATTTTTAGTATCACTGGTTTGGGAGAGAGCTGAGGAGTACAGTGCAGTGTAAGAGATAAACACAGATGGAGAAGGGAGGGTCATGTAGAGACTGAAGTAACCGAAGGATAGTGCAGAAAAAGCTTTGAGATTCACCTTCAGGTTTTGGTCTGCTGAATGAGATCTTTGCCATAAAGCCACATTTGGAAAAGCAGGTAACCAGCTAATTCCATAAGAGTATCTCTTGGGATCTGGTCAGTTCTCTTACTTTTAGGTGTATTCCAACTATAACAAACAATCCAGCATGACTAACGTGGAAAAACTAAATGTAGTTTTAGTTCACAACAAGAATTTGTAATTTTTGCTGTTACAGTCCTTGCTAGTCATAATTATATCGCTTTTACCTATTCTTTATAATCCAGAATCTTTATTATTAAAATGTTTGAAGCAGACTATAGAGCATCTATCATTACTTTTAAAGTTAATTAGATTACATAAAAGAAATAATTAGATTTGCATTTTTATCTTGGTTTTTAAACATCCAAAGATCACAACAGCCTGCCTGTGGGCAATTAAAAACAGCATACAGCAGAGACATAGGGAGAGGAAAAAAGGGTCTGTTTTTCCTGGCTAATTCATGACTGAAGATAGAATTACAAAATATTTTAAGGGCTTGCTGAAGCTAGAGGCTAATCCGAGACTTCTAAGTTTTGTTTATACCCCTCATTTCATTGCAAGGGAGTATCAGATGCATGTGCAGTGCCGATAGAAGTATCAAATTACTTTCAATGGGTTTATTTAGTCCTTTTCAGAGAATGTTGGAAGGAGATCCATTACCTGATCAATAACATACAAAAAAGGACTATTTGCTAGAGCCAAAACAGGAGGACTGTAATTGATTTCTGTTTATCAATGCTAAATACAAATAACAAAGAAATACAACCTAAGACAGAGGGACTATGTGAGACTGAAGTCAGCTTCTGACCATCCTCAGTTATTTTATTGGCGTCTCCAGCCATCTCCAAAAGACAATAAATGGAAGGTGCAGCTCTTAAAATTAGAGGTCAATTAGATACTTAACGATGAAGCATATCTTCAAATATATATCTATTATTATTATGCTAGCAAAAAATTAATTAAGTAGGTCAAGCAGGCCATGAAGGCTAATGTACAGAGTAATTATTTCTGATCTTCAGACCACTACTTCACATAAAAAGGTAGTCCTTTATTCTGCTCAGCAGATACCTGAAATGCCTGTAGTTAATCATATTGAAGGAAACAAAAGGTAAGGTTTATCTCCTTAAAAAGTGAGAGGACACCTCAAGTTACTCTGTTTAATTGTTTAATTGTAAATATTAGCATCTTTCTGATTAACAAAAAGGAAGAAGGGATAACACACATTTAATGATGCTCTACCACATGGCAAACACACAGACACAGAAAATATATCAATAGCACAGAGGAATATATTATAATCAAAATAAAAAACGCTGCATATGAAAGGTAATCATATATGCTTAAGAACAGAGTGAAATTCCCGTGAAGCAATGAACACTTGGTTTGAGTAAAAGAAAATAAGCAATATGTATTTCAGCATTTAAAATAAAAAGTTTTCAGATAAGACAAAGAATATTTGCAAAGATGCAGCAATGGCATTTAGTTCAGGCTTTCTACAGATAGTTTGTCATCTACTGTGCATGTTACTTGATGAGGGGAGGTCAATGAATATTGTGTATTAATCATAAAGAAAATAAAGCACTAAAAATTTCAAGTCTCACAATTATACCCAAAAAAGACATATGTGTAAGAATTGACTAAATCATTGGCCCTTGCCCCGAAAGCCAAATGCCCAAATAAAACCCCACCCAGCCAGTCCATTCTTAAGAGATTGTTGTTCAGTTCTGAGGAGAGGACATTGCTTATATAGCTCACAATACAAGCCACTTGAATAACTCTAAAATTGGAGCCTGAAGAGACATGAATAATTGGATAATACTATTCATTCTTGTAAAAGGAAGTTTCTCACAGTGATATTTTAATGAGCTGAATTCTTTTGCAAAGACTCAGTTCTAGCTGCAAAATTCCATCGTTAAATGTGTTCCTATTGACTCGCTATAGAAACCAAAGAATGTGGTTTACTGGATCCATAAAATATATATTCTCCAGATTCAAAACCATGATATGGTCAAATGAGGCTAGATGAATGAATATATGAAAAAATCAAGAAATGAGGATTTATGAAATGTTTTTTTGTTTTGCCTAGAATTGTCTTATATTTAATCATTGATTTAACAACTGTCAAATTAATTAAAAGTGAATTTTGTTTACCAATTAGCATAACTCAGAAGGAAAATGCTTCAAAATATTAGCTAAGATACTACAGTTCAATGAGTGGGAGACGGAGGATGAAATTACTGAAGCAGTTATCTTTCTTTGGAATTTCAACCTAAGAATCAACATTCCCAATTCCAAAGATCCATGTTTCATGGCCTATTAGTTTTGCTTTCCGTAGACTTGGTTTAAAAAAATAATGTTTTTGTTCTGGAAATATCAAAAATGCCTATTTTTTTTCTGGGCTCCATATCAGGAGAATTACTTAATATGTAAAAAATTAGAGAAATCACCATTTTTCCCAAAGCACAGAGGGATTTGAATTTACAAAGCAAACATTCTCATAAAAGACCTAATATTAGGGTGACATTTTAATAGCCATTCATAATTATTATCCTGATTTATTAAAAGGTAAAAACCGATTTGTCAAAACTATAAAAACAGTTCACAAAATCATTAATCATACTTTTCTATCATGGTTTACATGACTTTAGAAGAATCTATTTAAAAGTTTAGCTCAAATTTATGAAGGCAAAATAATGTTAAAAAATATATTCAAGAAACAAATATAAATAAAATTGGTCTTAACTGCACATATAAGTACTGAATAATTGCAAATAAAACAAACATGGGAAATTTTATAATAGTATCTTAATCATGCCTTTTCCTACTTCTAATGAAAAATCCTGTTTTTCAATTTGTGGAAACCATTCAGGTTTTCATTTGTTTCCATTATAATAGACCCAGATGTGTTTGTGTGGGGTTGTTACAAGAGGTTAGGCACTCTTCCCTTTATTTCTATTAAAGCTTGCAAATTGGGGGGAAAAATAGTACTGATTTAGAAGTCAGCATTCTCAACTACAGAAATGATTTTGAATGCAACCACATCATACTGATGACCCATAGCCAATTGCCATCATTTAATCTTGCTGACCACGTTAGCTAATAGGTTCTAGGACTCAAGATATAAAAAGAAAAAAAGTATCAAACTTGCTCAAATTGTCTCTATATTCATCATTTGCTTTTGAAAGAGAAATTAGGTTTTATTTTTAATAACTTCAATTTTTATCTTTAATAATCTTGTTTTATCCTTTGTTCTGTTTTGTGTTCAAATAAGAAAGTGTTTCTTTTCTTGATAGAAAAAAATGTTTGAAGCATCCCTTAAGTCTCATATTTTGCTCAAAAAGCATTTACAATTTACCCAACAATAATCTCTTTCCTAAATTTGATCAAATTTCAAAACCCATTCCCCATCCAAAGAAAAATGGAAGTCTGAATATCAAATACCTGTTTTGTGTCAGAGATGAATACATGTTGTGTAAGGAGTACGTGATTTTCAGCATTTGAAAAACTCTTTGAATGGTCTTATATGTAGACGGTAAATACTGGCAAGATCTGCCATGAAGCAATAGCTCAGGATAGAATGAACTATCAATACAGGTCTTATTGCTTTCTCTTATATATATTTTTTTAAATTAATTCTTATTACAAACAATTTTATATTTCTAAAGTGAATGTAACTCTGACATTGAATATTTTTATTTTATAATTTATACTGCTAAGTTCAAGAGTTGATTAGTTTAAATTTTAAAAATTTAAATGAGAAATATCCACAAATTTTAAAAGCAATTAAACTTCTATTATATTAGAAAACTTGAAAAAAATTACTCCTATCTTCTCAAATTGATGTTTCCAAATGTTCATTCCAATGAATATTTTAAGACCATGTTCTATAGTTTTCTGAAACATATGTAGTCAATTTTTAACTATAAAATCATATATAAGCAATACATACTAAAAATATTTCGTGAAAATATTCTAAACTGATTTGGCTGCTATTCACCTGAAGTTCCCAGTGCCACAGGAAAACATCAGTGAAGACAACCAGTCAGTACAAACAGCACTGTACTAAGAAGTAAAATATATTAGAAAAGAATAAACAAGTAAGCTATAAAGCAGTAGTAAAAACAATAATTAACTGATATACGAACACCTCGGGGAACTTCCTCCATTTCTGCTTTACAAATAGAAGAAACAGAGAGAACTAAATGGTCATGGTATTTAACACCTACTGAGTTCTTACAGAGGGATCTACAGAAAAATGTAGGAAGCCACAGGCTAAAAATCTTGACCTGAGCAGTAGGAGTTACTGAAAATTCTAATAAGGGCAGAACAAGAGAACACCTGGACAGTTATTTAATTAAGGATCTCAGCATGAGCCATAAAGGAGATATCAGGATGAGAAACTATTCTAAGATGTAACTGTAAAGGCTGGCTGTCAAAAATGCTAAAGACATTCCAACTCATCTATATTTGGACTTTTTATTTTGCAACATGTGTAGTTGAATATGGAATATTGAATAGGACAAAAACCAACAAAAATGTTGGCCAAGGCTTCTTACTGAAAATAGCTGGACAAAAATGCCAATTAGGTAAAGGAACTGCTTCCGATACCAAATTAGTATTTTAAGTGCAGTAACTACCTGGAACACTAAGTATAATAAACAAAAATGAAGCAAAGATCGAAGGTAAAATCATTGTTATTCGTCAATGAGGTAGAATATTGCAGTAAACTATGACTTCATGCTACTGATATTTAAAAAAACTATGGGAGAGCATGATATTAACCTCAAGAAAAGTAATAATATAATTCAGAATATGCTGGCCCAACTAGTTTGAATCATAGATTCCAGCAGGTTCTCTAATAATCAAGGGAAACAAGAGTCTGTGGTAGGATATGGATAACTCTGTGAATAGTATTTCTGAGAATTAATCACTAGATAGCCAGTTACTTATTCTAGGGCTTTCTAGAAGTCACAAAACTATATTCCTATTTGGAAATGGAGACCATTTTCCTTGCCTATCTCAAATAGCTGTTCATTGAATTAACTATCAAGTATCTAAAAGAATGACAGAAATCAGACCATCACCCTTCTTCCCCAGACCACTGTAATTATGATCTATATATTTGTACATTGCCATAAGAAAAAGGAATTTCTACACAATGTAGAAAATCCCTTTTTCTTATGGCAATGTAAAAAATGAATAATAATTCGTAATTATTTAGGAACAAGTTTTTCTTCCTTTATATACTGTAAGCTCCTTGAAGACAAACTATCACTCATTAATCTTTCTATTCCCTTCAGCATCTAGAAGGAATGCAGTTAATATTTGCTAAAGATTATTAATAGTTTTTTTCCAGATTTTTAACAGCCTTTTTCCAAATTATTAACAGCCTTTTTCCAAATTTTTCTCATAATTGGTCCAATTAGTCCTAACAAGTAAATTAAAAGTAAGCTTCTCTCTACAGTACCATGACATGGTAAAGTATAAAACAGAAAGTGGTCAGTGGTAATAAAAATAGCATCTGTATACTACCTGGGAAACCATTAGGTTCCCACTAGGTAGTGTTATGCAAATGGAAAAAAGAAAAAAAGATAAGGGTTATTTTGCTTACACATCACATCAGAGAAGAATGCTTAGACCAACACCTAGTCCATATTTCTTACATTCACTTATAGAGTTGTGTACAACATCCTTGAAAACAGCCCTATTGGTGCTGTTTATAAGACAGGGGTACATCTGCAGAGTTTTAAATTTCATTTTCAAGGAGGAAAGTATCTAAGTATAATCAGATGAGAGTAATAAAATACACTGACCTGGATCTGTTGCTGCAGGAGATTAATTTTGTGCTGCTGTTGCAGAAGTTGCTGCTGTTGTCTTGCAATCTATCAGAAATAAAGTTTCATTACGTTAAAATGAAATGCTTACACCTCTGCCATTACCTCAGGTATTTCTCCTGGTATTACAGCAATGTTTTACTGCACCTCTATGTGAAAGAGTTCCTACAAAATGAGAGAGGTCAAATCAGAAAGATGGATGAAAGGAAGAATTTTTAAACAAGTGCTATCTCTCTGCTTTATCTGTAGGAAAACTACCCCTTCAATTACATTTGTGAGCTATTCACCTATATCTGCACAGGTCAGCCAGAAATCATGGGAATTTAGAAATTTAATCCTGGTAGAATATAGATAGACAATCTCTGGCTGCATTTTTCTAAATGGCTTAATATGGATGTAAAAAGTAAAATCTGTAAGCAATACAGGAAAAAGCTTTCTATTACTGTTTAATATGGTCTACGTCAGCAAAACCTTTCCTGATACAAAGACTTTCAGAACTGATACATTAACAAATACTGTCAAAGGAGTGCCAAAGAACACAGCAAAAAGTAAAAAATCTTTAGCTTTTTTTGTTGTTGTTGTTGATGCTGTATGTGATGTACAAAATATTAAAAACAAATTAAGCTGTAATTTAACATTTACCCATTTATCCTTTTGAGGACAATGTGTTTATATTACAATGCAGGATCCATATACAAGTTTTATATTTCCTTGTTTCACCCAACAATCAAATGCAACATTTAAACAAATTATCTGCTCTATAATAAGAAATGTTAACCATTTAATGCAAGCCCTACTGATGACTGACTCTAGCTCTCAGGTGGTCAAACAGCTTCCTTCGGATAACAGTGTTTACTGTGAAGTATGAGTCAGGCATCAGGCTGCTTACTGACTCAAAAGCTGAGATGCTACAGCTTGAAATCCAGGGAGATGATCCTTAGTGAGAACAGACTCACTGCCATCCTAGGAAGCCAGAGAGAAAAGCAGCCAGAGAATACTTAGAAGGACTTCGTTTAGTGGTGACTTTTTGTCAACAGTGTCTTTTTTTCCTAGTTCTTGCTACTTCCAAAAGCCAGTATTCTAGAATGCATTATGTGGGAAGTGAAAATGAGTGTAGATCAGTTCCCAGCTATATACTTCCCAAGCCTTTTTGATGTTCTAGCTTACGCAGAGGCTGGAGAGGGAGTGCCCAAATTATATTTTATTCAACATAGAAGTCTGCTTCCAAATCTTGCTTTGTGATTTCTGATAACAACTGGTTCATACTGGAAGCCATGGTAAAGTTACACCTAATGTAGGCTACAGTGTGAGAAATGGGGACTACTCTTTCCCAGAGCTTTATACTTAAAATGGAAATAGTATTTAATCAGGTTTGAAAGGCCCACTCTGCTTGTGGATATTCAAATCAGAAATGTACAACTCACTCTGCAGCTCTAGGTATCGATGCTGGATCCTCTGAATATTTATTTCCTCTTAGCAAACCAGTGAAACACCACTAGGCATCTAATATTGATGGTCCCTCCTAAATGATAAAGTGCTGCATAGAAATGCATCCAAAACACCACAGTGCAATTACTATCATCCACTCTAGACGTATGGGTTTGACACAGTGAAGTATGGTACATAAGCACCATGTGGCTCAAATTCTGAATTTTATTTGCCAATCGGTTGAGCTACATGCTCGCTTCATTGAGCATGACAACCTAGTTTTAAGTGTCATTTAATTTTCATTTTGAAATATAATTACAAAGTGTTCACTGTAAGATATCACTCGTCTGCAAATGTGTCAAGATTAATTTGTGCTAGCTTATTCACAAGTGTCAATAGTTAATTACTGTGTCATCTCTGGATGGCTAAATGACATTCTAACTTCTGATTTTTTACAGTGTTCCTTTATGTTATTTTCCATTAGGGGCTGAGTCCATATTCCTACATGTGGGCAAATATTCAAGCATATAAAACAGCAGACATCACAACTCATTAAAATCAACAGAGCATATATTGCTCTATATACTCCTATAAAATAGATTTAACTGAAAAGATAATTCCAGTAATAATGTCAGATTCCTAAAAACTGCAAATTAATTTGGATACGTCTAATCTAAAGCATCAGGTACTACTCTATAGGATCATTGTTAGATTAATGTACTCTTAGGAGACAAGAAAAAAACATTTGGGAAAGTGATTTACTTTTAAAAGATAAACATTCAAATTTTGCTATTTTTCCTTCATTCTCACTTCTAAGTCATCAAGTCACATGCTTTTAGGAACCATGTACTAATTTGTATTCAATGACTTACCGATGCTATAAATAGTGACCATAAGATGTGTCATACAAACCAAGACAACTTTCACAAGTAGAAGAAGGCAGGGTATTATTACTCTAGAAAACAGGCACTAACCAGGGCTATATGGGGAAAACTGAAATGTATGGTCACCTCATTGGGCTTTAAACCTGAAGAAAATCACTGGACCAATGAGCTTAAAGATTCCCAAAGTTTTTTCTGGAACAGAATCCCCTTCTTCTGGATGAGGAAAATAAGGCCCTTAGAAAAGTCACTTACTCACAGTGAAGGTACAGAGGGATTATATGTGATGTCTATCTGAGTAAGTATACCTGAGTCATTAATCAAATCCAAACCTGAAACAATGTATCGTTTTAGTTATGCCCAACTGCTATGATGCCTTTCTTCGTCCACATATTCCCTTAGTATTCTTGAAGACCCTGCATTTCCAGAAGGCTTATTTGGTTGTTGTTGGTGGTTTTTTTTTTTTTTTTCCTTATTTTCTTCTTATTTTTTATTTTTATTTTTTAGGAAAGCTTACAACAAATAAGCCAATCAATGTGATTACTCTCTGAGCCTGGCACATTCCACATCTCCAGTTCGTCAGTGCCTTTTGCAGGGCTCACCTGTTCTTGCTGTTGGCGAGCAAGGTCCATTTGCTGCCGTTGTTTCTCAATTTGTGAGGCTGCCAGTTTTTTCTGTTCATCATGTGCTGCCAGAAGCTGCTCCCGTAAACTGATCAGCTGGGTAATCATGGTGGAGAGCTGCCGTTCTTTTTCTGCCAGGCTCTCAGGTGTACCTAAAATGGAAGCAAGAAGAGATCTCACAAGCTTGAGAAATACCTGGACGAATCAGGGAAAGAAGAGCAGAATTTAGAAAGGGACTATCCTAAGACATTTAAAGATCTGGGACAATGACTGGAGGCCATTGTGGGTGCAGAAACACCACAGAGTAATTACAGCAGTGGAATGAATGCTAGGTTCCTCACTGTTGTTGCCAATAAAAAGTATTGTCACTAGCAAAATTCTCACTCACTCTCCTCTCTTGATCTAAAAAAAAGCAGACCTACTCCATTCTCTCCTTTTTGCCCCCAGTCTATCTGATCAAGCTAGGAAATCCATGATATTTAATACAAAAGATCAGAAACTATAGATTATATTAATATTCTATAATCACCTCTAAGTTCAGCAACTAACAGTACCTAAGACATAGTAGATGCTTAATTAAAGTTACTTGAGGAAGTTTCTGACCCTTGCCCTCAGTAAAGTTTCTATTGTACAAAGATCTGTCATTGAAGTGACAAGAGATTGAAGGAATCAATCTCTTGGCCATAGAGAAAATTCTACAGAGAGAATTAAAACTGCCTCCAGTGAGAAAAGATTGAATGTGATTCTTTTTTTTCCTGAGAAAGGATCAAGCTGAAATTCCTAAGTTCATCAGTAAAGGCAACAGTGTTGCTTGGGGCGCTCCATCACCCCTTTGTCATTTGTCATTCTTCAAAGGGAAAAAACACATTCAAGGTTGAAAAGGTTATGCATAAGGATATCCTGTTTAATGAATATGATGTCGCTGAACACTTATGGTATGCACTAATGGTGCTGAACAGTTTTTTATGGGCAAATTGCACAGCTCTCCTAAGTAAAGGGTACAGAATCCTTTTGTGAATCTAAATTAGAGCATTTTACAGCAGCATAAGATAAGAATTTCAACCCACAGTATCTGAGCCACACGGATTTCATTATGAAGAAATGATCTGTGATTTGAAAGCTTTTCAGAAAAATGCCACCAGCTGTCAAAGGGGACAAAGATTGCCAATTTTTGTGTGTGCAGGAGAGACTTCCAACCTCCTTATGAAACCCCCTCATTCCTACTAAGAAAGTGCCAGTATGATCTGCAAAAATATTTTAATTATCAGTGGCCTTATTTTTCAAGTGGCCCAAAGGAGAAAGAGAAGCTTCAGAGGATGCAGGCTAGCTGTTGTTAGTATATGATTTCTGAAGGGTAAGACTGACGTCAACAGAGAAGCTACCACATTTAGGGCTATCATGGGATTCTTAAGGTCAACTGGTATCCTTAAAAAAAAAAAAAAGAAAGTTGCCAGTATCCCTTATATCCTTAGATTTACTGAGCTGAAAGATGGCCTAAAATCAAAATAAAAAGAAAAATAAAGTTGTTAGAAAGTGTATTCCACTGATAAGAAAACAAATGCTGTACCAAGGCTAGTGACCAGCTACTCTTTCTAGATCCTGAAATTTGTTAAAAGAAAATAGACTTTTACTTCAGCAATGGGAATTTCACCATGGTGAAAGGAAGAATTTCTTGGTACAGAATCTCTAAAATACAAAAGTAGGTTCCCAAAAAGAATCATAAGATATCTTAAGAACAAAGGCTTAAGTAATGCATTTGTTAATATATACAGGAATGAGAAAATACAAGAAAGAGATTTTTTAAATTTAAATATTGAATGGATTTTTAATTCAATACATATTTTCTGAATTGCAACTATGTGTCAGGTACTATATCCAGAACTAAAGACAGCCTGGCAAGTAAAAGCAGACACAGTCCCTACTCTTAGGCAGTTTGTAGTTCAAAATTTGAAGAAACAGGTCAGGTACAGTGACTCATGCCTGTAATCCCAGCATTTTGGGAGGCCGAGGCAGGTGGATCGCCTGAGGTCAGGAGTTTGAGACTGGTTTGGCCAACATGGTGAGACCCTGTCTCTACTAAAACTATAAAAATTAGCTGGGGGTAATGGTAGGTACCTGTAATCCCAGCTACTTGGGAGGCTGAGACAGAAGAATCACTTGAACTCAGGAGGCAGAGATTGCAGTGAGCCAAGGACACACCACTGCACTCCAGCCTGGGTGACAGAGTAAGACTCCATCTCAAAGAAAAAAAAAAAAAAAGAAAAGAAAAAGAAATCCAAGAGACACCTTAATCATGTAATCAAACATGTAAATTGTAAACTACAACTACATAGGGATTATAAATAAGACAAATATTTTGTGGGAGTTTAACCAAATTTGGGTGCCTAAGTTCAGGGAAAGTAACCTAAAAAGTCAACAAATTAACAGAAGGGTGAATAGGAATTAACTAGGCAAAGAGTTGCGAGTATGGTTTGAAGGAGCTTTCCAGAAAATGTGAAACTGCAATGACAAAAAAACTACAACTGAAGAAAGGGTTGCAAGAGGGTGGTTGGTGGTCAAGGAATTTTTCCAAAGGAGAAAACACTATGGGTAAAGGTCGTGTGCGTGTGTGTGTGTGTGTGTTTTGGGGGTGGGGGCAGTTTGGTTTGTTCCAGAAGTTGAAAGAAGTCAGTGAAACTTGAGCAAGGAAAATAAACAGGAATAGAGTATTAGATGAGGCTGGAGAGCTACTAAGAGGGCATACCATTCAGTCCCTTATACAGCATGTGTGATAATCTACACATTTATTCTAATAATGATTCCTAATCACTAAAGTATTTTAAGAAAGGAGTGATATAGTCATTTTGGTTGCAGTGTGGTGAAGAGATTGGAAAGATGAGATAAATGGGATGTATCCACATTTTATTATATATATTTTGTGCAATATACTTTTTTGTTATACCTGTGTATATGATGTGAGTTAAGAGAAGGTTTATTGGATATGGTGATAGTTAATGTAATTTTTTGTTAATAAAGAAGAGCTTACACAGGAACTTTTAGGCAAAGAACAATATAAGAGTTGGATCTAGTGTTTGGATTCTCCAATAAAGACTGGAAAATTTTCTCTTCTTCCATCTTAAACAATCTTTTCAACAATCTTCAACATATTCCCTTTTCTTCTCTGCATAGGCAAGAGAGAGGCTAAAGATGATACATAAATGACTTCTTAGCCTCTTCTGTTCACAGTAAAGATTTATAAATGCATTGGTGCTTCCAGGGTTTATATATATATATACAGTATATGTATACCTGAATTGATAGAATAACACTATTTAACTGAAACTAATTGTAAACAGTCAGTGGCATCTAAATATTTTTTTTGTACTTAAAAGATACACATTTAAAGAGAAAATGCAGAAAGCAACATTTTTAAATTTAGAATTTAAACATTCATATAAGGTTGTCACTATTTTTTCCTTAAACTTGAGGAGTACATATAGTCAACCACCACTATCTATAGGTTTCACATCCACACATCTGCTGATTCAACCAACCACAGACTCAGCCAACCTCAAATTAATAATGTTTTTTTTTTAAATAGCAATACAATAAGCAAACAGGATAACAACTAGTCACACAGCATTTACATTGTATTAGGTGTGATAAGGAATCCAGAGATTACATGAAATATGTGGGAGGATGTGCATGGGTTATATGCAAATACCAGGATATATTACCTAAGGAACTTGAACATCCTCAGATTTTTCAATGAATATATTTTGATTAGTGGCATTAAAAATGAAGTTGAAGTGAAGCATAGTAGTGTAACAAATCTGAAATCCCCCTGTATTGGGAATCATATATATAGCCACGTAGCCCTTGTGGCTCAAATTGGGGAAAAAATTTATACCATACAATTGCTTATATTCTAAATGTGCAGATCAGCTTGTGTGTGTGTGTGTGTGTGTGTGTGTGTGTGTGTGTGTGTGTGTGTGGCAGGCGGGCAGGGGATGCATTTTTCTGTTCTGTACCCACTGTATTTGTTCAGGTATAATGGTTTGAAGCCAAGCATTTAAGACCTATGATGCTGAATTTTCTGTTTAATTAACAGCGTGTTTATGCCACTGTAATAAAAATAACATCAAGTCTAACTCACACTGACCAACCAATGTGTAAATACAAATTATTTTATCTAAAGAAAATTAAACATCAAACTTTGCCATGGCAAAGGAACTACAATGGTCAGAGTGGCTGAAAGAACAGATAATTATGGAACATAAAGGAGCAACCTAAATATAGTCAAATTTTGTTAAGGTTGGAAGGGCCTTAGAATGCTCTTATTCATTAACTCTATGTAGAAAATAGTATATTGGCCAGGCTCAGAGGCTCATGCCTGTAATCCCAACACTTTGGGAGGCAAAGGTGGGAGGATCGCTTGAAGCCCAGAGTTTTGAGACCTACTTAGGCAACATAGTAAGAACCTGTCTCTCCAAAAAATTTTTGTAAATAATCAGCTGAGCATGGTAACCTATACCTGTAGTCCCAGCTACACAGGAGGCTGAGGCAGGAGGATTACTTGAGCCCAGGAGTTCAAGACTGCAGTGAGCCATGATTGTACCACTGCACTCCAGCCTGGGTAGAAGAGACTATCTCTCAAAAAGAAAGAAAAGAAAAATGATGTCCTAAATCATGTTTGGAGGTTTGATAAAATCAACTTGGGAAAAAAGTAGACCAATTTCTGATGATCTGCCCAGGCCAGCAGAGGTCATCAGGAGCTACCTAACATCATCTGTTTCATGTCCTTCAAGCTATCTTAAAATGATTCTCTAAAAAGCACTGCCAGAAAATAGTCTTCTGCCTCCCACATAAAAACAGAGGTAGTTTCATAAACCACAAAAAGGGAACCAGCAAAAACACTTCTGTACACAGCTTCTCTACAAGTCAGCATGCCTGCTTTTATCCAATATCACACACAATGTGCGCCTGACACTCTCTGCTATAAACTATATCTATTCTCCAACTCCAAAGACAGTGCAGCAGGGTTTTTTTTTTTCTTTTTCCTTTCTTTTTTTTTTTTTTGTTCCATGGGGTCGTCTTTATCCCCAAACCACATCTGTCTTGAGTTTCTCTCAGATTAGTCAGGTGGATCAGTGCTCCCCAGGGCCTGCTCCAG